CACACACACACACACACACACACACACACACACACACACACACACAACACACACACACACACATCAGTCAAATGAATCCTGGGCAGAATGTCGGGGTTCAACCTCCTGATGAGTCGGTGAAAGTCCGACGAAACAGTCTGGCACAGTCATGCTTTTCCTGAGCGTATAGCGAATATGACAACACACACACAAACAATCCGGCCCTCTCTATTGCCACAGCATCGAAATACACACTGCCAAAGAACGAAAATGTGGCAGCGTATATTTCCATGTTCTAGCGACAGATTCGTTCCCATTTTGCTCATCCTATGTTGTCCAAATCGCAAGTGTTCTCTCTCTCTCTCTCTCTCTCTCTCTCTCTCTCTCTCTCTCTCTCTCTCGCAGCGACATTTGCATCTGACAGCTCCTGAGTCCATACTCACACCGGGATTTCTTTTCAATCCATCTGTGCGCAGTTATGTCCATACTGACCTTCTGGGACCTTTTGGGACATACTCACACTGGCACTTCGGGCAACTTAGGGCACACTCACACTCTGACTTATCCTTGCCATCATATACTGACACTGAGACCCTCTGGGACATACTCCCACTGTGCTCCGCCTGCCGCCGCATCGCCGCGGCGCACCTCTGACTTGTTACGGTATAACGGGTTAATAGGGGTTTGAGCAGTCTTGGCGGCAGCCGGAACTAGAAGGGTTGGGGGTGTGAGCAGTGTTCGGGGCACAGCCGGAACTATACGGATGATTGGGTTGATGACAGGATAGATGAAAAAAAGAAGCCTCGACACGACACTCGTCTCCATCATCCGCAGCCTCCATCCCATGGCATACCTACCCATCCTCATGCACCTCCTCACCCTTGACCGATCTGTTTCCTTCCCCCCTCCTCCCCTCCCCCTCTGTTCTTCCCGATCATTCCCATTCAACGAAATACTGTAATTCCTCCTATTCCTCCTCTCCATCTCCTCCTCCTCCTCCTCTTGCTTAAATTTGCTCTGTTTCTCTGTCTCTTCTTGCCTTTTCAGTCTAAACTTTGGGTCTGGTCCTTCCTGTCTCGTACGAGTACATTTCCTGTCTCCACCCGCCGTCCTCTGTACCTCATCGTCCTCTTCCCTATCGTCATTCGTGTCGCCGGGCCAGTGATGCTGCCGTTCTAATGATCTGCCAGCCGTGCATGTGCGGATGCTTGAATGGGAATGAGCTAATCCGTTGGTGGCATATCGGTGCTGAAATTTGGGCCCATCTTCCCTGTTGTCCATGTGATCCTTGCATATCCCGGAGCTGACTGTTTGATCTGTCTCGTTCTTCTTCTTTTTCATCTTCTTTCGACTGGCTTTGCTTAGCTGTGCTGTGCGATGTGTTTACAGCAGACTGCAGTGATGCCCCTCCACGTAGCAAAACTCGAGAGAGGTTTCTTCTGAGGTAGAAGAGAAAATGTCCAACAACCGAGTGCCTTTTAGCTTCCCCTGCCGGCGAACAACTGAGTGCCTTTTAGCTTCCCCTGCCGGCGAGATCTAATGGAAAGAACGGATGGAAAGCGACTTGGACATGTGAACTGGCTGGTTTCAGTTTCGGAGCTAGAATGCCATGCGCAACTTATCGCACTTGACTGGCGAGGCAATAGCTAGCTTGTAAGCCCAGGGCGCACAGTATCTGCTTGTTGGCTGGGCACGGGGTGGGGGGGGGGGCGTTCTGTGGTTGGGAGAGGGATTGCATTGCACAATGGCGTTGGAGGAGGAGGAGGAGGAGGAGGAGGACTATCTGTTTTTTGGAACGCGTCTGGTAGAGGAGGATGAGGTGAAGGGGCAGCAGCGCAAGGCTGCTGCTGCCGAGTCGGCGGCGCTGACGCGAAAGGCGCCGCTGTGGAAAGAAGAGGTGTTTGACGAGCAAGGCCGGCGCAGATTCCATGGAGCTTTCACGGGAGGATTCTCTGCGGGCTATCACAACTCGGTGGGCTCGAAAGAAGGTTGGGTGCCCACAAGCTTTGTCTCTTCTCGCCACAAGCGTGCAGAAAGGCGGGAACAGTCCGCTGTCGATTACATGGATGAAGACGAGAGGGAGGAGAGGAAGGCGCAGTCGCTGAACGCAGCGCAGGAATTCGACACGTTCGGGTCCACTGCGGCGGAATTTGCTCGGAGGCAAGCGGCTTCTGAGGCTCGGAGAAGACCTGGCGTGATCCCTGGGCCGATCCCCGATGAGATCGTGCTTCCTGCTGCTGGGGGTATAGGGATGGAGCTCCTCAGGAAAATGGGCTGGCGACATGGCCGAACCGTTGGGCCGGATGGGGAGGTTGATGCGACGAAGTTCCTGGAGGTAGCAGAAAAGGTAATGAAGATGGGAAGAAAGGATCATCCTCGTATGATGGAGGATTTGCATGGAACACGTCAAATTTGCGAGCGCTCCCTGGGCTCCACACAAACAAGTGTGGGGGTTGGGGATTATCGATCCAGGCAGGAATGTGACGATAACCCGCTGGAAGACGCGCGCGAGAAGAAGAGGTCAAATACTACAACTAGTAAGTTCGCGATGGATAGATATGAGCAGCAGGGCTTTGGGGATCGAGGTGCTGGGGATGCAGTGGCAGGCGTGGTGCAGGAGGAGAGGAGAAAAAGGGGGGTTGGAATGGAGGCGCCTGTTGGGGCAGCAAAGGGAGGTGTGATGGAAGAGGTTGCGTTGGATGATGGTGGTGACAATGATGGGATGGTGTCCTGCAGGAGGAGCCCGAGGGTGCTCGCACTTGTCCCGAAGGACGACCTTTTCGGTCTGGGGTTCGATTGCTTCAAGGATGCCCCTGATTTCCGGAAAGCGAGGAAGGCACGCCTGGCAAATGAGAGGGAGTTTGGAGGAGCTGGTCTTGCTCTGTCCCGAAGCCATCACCTGGGAGTGCCTGTGCCTACCACCGGCCTGATGGGCAGCGGGAGAAAGGGAGCGTCGTTGCTGGGCACGTCTGGATGGCGACAAGGAGAAGGGTTTGGTATCGGTGCACTCGAGGAGCCTGGGATCGAGGACGAAGACGTTTACGGTCAGTCAGGGGAGTACGATTTCGAGATTGGCGGAGAGGAGGAAGATGTTAGAGAGGAGGAACAACACCCTATCAGGGGGGGATCGCGGGGACAAAACTGGAACCCCCTCTCAAGGAGGGAAGGGTCGCAAAGCAAGCAGCTGCCGCAGCCATTTCGCGCATCTCGTAAAGTGATAAGTGGGTTCAGGTTGGGAGGAACTGTGGGGGGGGGTCCAGATGTGATAAATGGGTACCCACCACCGCCATCTATTCCACCCGACTTCCAGTCAATTCACAGATTCCCCGACGGCAAGCTAGCCCTCCCAGGTGGCAGTGGCGATGATGGTGCCTCCGCAGCAGCCCCTCCTGAAGTAGTTGAGCCTCCCGCGGATGAAACGGTCAAGAAAGCCGTTGACACGTTTGCACCCCTTGTGGCAAAGATCGGGCAGCAGCTGGAGGACTTAGCTCGGCAGAAAATGACAGGGAAACGAACCTTTGGGTTTTTATTTGGTCGAGAGGGGAGCAAGTATTACATGCGGCGACTTTGGGAGGAGCGGGAGAAAGTACGGGAAAGTGCACGGCGTGCCAAGGCGGCTGCGATGGATTCCAATCGAAGGGCACAGATTTTGGGCGAGCAACCTCTGAAGTGCGAGCCGGCTTCTTCGAAGAAGCCGAAGAAGGTGGCGTTCATGCCTTCTGAGCAGCTGAAAGCGGTCTTGCCGATAGCATTTTCACGAGGGGAAGAACAAGACATGAACGCGGACTCTGCGTGCAAACCGTTTGCGAGCGATCCCGTGAAGCAGTCCAAGTATGAGCAGTTTTTAAGGGACAGATCTGCAGAAAAAATCGGTGTTGCGGAAATGAAAGCCACCGACGACCTGAAGCCAAGCGCTCCCTCTTTCTCAGTAATGGCTGCTGATGATGGTCCTCGAGTCCCGGATACGTCTGCGCAGGAGGAGGTCAAAGAGTTCGAGCGAGTGGCCCAGCTTCTTCGGCACTTGCCCATTCCGCAGGCGATGGACAAACCCGGGGTGCAGATCGATGGAGGTTATGGGACTGAAAAAAGTGAAATTTCTGACACTAGAAAAAGCAGATTTACTTCAGGCGGCGTGGAGTTTCCCCTGGGCATGCCATTGCAGCAGCAGCTGATGGTCCTAGCGGCGAGACCTGCAAAATTGACGCCATGGAGAGAGGAGAGCGTCTGGCGACCTGCCCATCTGTTGTGTAAGCGGTTTAACCTATTGGATCCTTACCCCGGAAATCCGTGTCATCATCCTCCGTCGAGGCCAAAATCCCGCATGGATGTGCTGTCTGGATTCGAAAAGCTGGGGGCAAGCGGAGAAGATGTGCCACGGCGCCCTTGTGGTGTTCCCCCCGTGGAGGATCCGCAAGACGCTGTGGAGGCAGCGCCAATCGGCAGCACACCACCGATCGCTTCCAGAGAGCCCCATGCAGTGGATTCACCACCACCACCTAAGCATGATGACGAGGAACTCGAAAGACGAGGAAAGGGTGTGCATGGAGAGCGAGAGGGGGAGATTCCTCTGCCAGATGATCCTGACAAGTTTGTTGAAAGGCCTTTTGATTTATTCAAGGCGATATTTTCAGATGAGGAGTCTGACGATGAAGGCATGTCGGCAGATGCTCATCCAAGCTTCAGCTCACATGCGGGGATGGCGACAGGCAGCCAGGGCGAGGAGAAGAGCAGCGTGAGCATAGGAGCAGCGCAGGCAGCGGCTTTTGCTTTGAATCGGCTTGTTGCAAAAGACTTTCTGTCAAGTCTAGGGGATGAGATGGGCCTGAAAGTTCCTGACCCAAAGCCTCCTCCTCAGAGACACTACTATGTCAAACCTTCACCGCCAGGGGGGATGAATACAGGGAGACAAGCGATGAGTGGGAAAAGTGGTGATGCTGAGCTGAGAGGGCAGAAGCCAGGGAGGTTGAAGGTGGAGTCCTATTCTCAGACGCATGAGCAAGAGGGTCCAATACCGACCAAGGAGACGGTGGACTGTGACCGTCGTGGGGAGGACTGTGGTGACGTGCGCATTGCGAGGGATAAGGAAGCAGGAGAACGGGAGACATGCCAGGGCAAGGCCAAGGTCGGGTATGAAGTCGATGGCATGGTTGTTGTTGGTAAAATGTCCCCTAGCAGCCGATTTGCGGAGGGGGAAGAAGATGAACTGGCGACGTTTAAGACGGTGACAGGGTGGGAGGCTTCTTCTGCACGGACTGACGCTCAAGTGCCGCGGGGAAGTGCAAGGGAGATGGAGTGCGATACTCCTCTGGGGGTGGATCAGCGGCTCGACAAGAACAGAAGGCTGGATGGAGGCCATGGTGGAGAGGAGGAAAAGAAGCGTAAGGCAAGTAGAGAGAGTCGTCAAAGGCGTAAAGAACAAGGATCGGCGACAGAAAGCAGTGAAGGAAGTGACAGAAGTGGATGGGAAGAAAGGAGGAGGAAGAAACGGCACAGGCGGGAGATAAACAAGAGAGGAAAGAAAGAAAGGAGGGGGGATCGGAGTTTGCGGACAAGGGAGGGAGAGCGAGAAAGGAGGAAACAACAGAGAGCTACGAGTCCGTCAGAGGAGAAGGGCAGAAGGAAGAAGAAGAGTGAGGAGGAAAAGAACAGGAAGAAGAAGAGGAGGAGGAGGAGGAGGAAGCACAGAAGAAGTGATGATGATGGTAAAAGAAGAAAGAATGTCACAAGGGATGATCGGAAACGGCGGAAACAACACAAGCAAAGAGGTCGGCCGTCATCCCCTTCATCCTCAGCGAGTTCCTCCTCCTCGTATTCATCTTCCTCAGATGCGGAGAGCTCGACTGATTCGTCTGATGACTAATAAGTCGAGTGGAATTGTATAAAAGAGTTCATGCCTCCATTTGCCATTGGAATCGATGGTCAATACCGACAGAAGAGCGTACGGCAGGCATTTGCAGCAATAGCAGGTTTGTTTTCGTTACTTGCTGCTGCTGCTTTGACTGTGAATGACAGTGCTTCGGAGGGGGGTGGGTCTGAGTGGAGGGGTGGGTCTGAGTGGAGGGGTGGGTCTGAGTGGAGGGGAATTTTTTGTTAGGAGTTTGAGATGATGATGCTTAGAAAGAATTCGTTTGATTTTTTTGCTGCTGTGCTGCACAATATTTTTTTAAAAGAGATTCTGTCAATTCTTCTGTGAAAAGTTTGAACATCCGGAAAATACCTCCTGTAGGTCATCAGCCAGGCACTGGCAGGCAGCCCCCGTATAGGCGCTGGCTTCCTGTGTGCCTGACTGGGAGGAGGCTTGAGCAGGTGTTACGATTTTGAGGGATCTCAAGTACTTCCATCCATCATATCATCCATTATCTCACCTAATAAACACTTTGAGATGAAATGACACTTGATTGCCAAGCTCACATACAATCGGAATTAAACAATCACACCACACCCAATAGTTGATGAAACCCGAAAAAGTTGCTCAGAAATTGAGCTCCCTGCCTTCCTGAGCAACATGCAACAACTGGCTCAAGAAAAAATCATCCAGTGAACAAGTTTTCTCACTGGCTATGGCTTTGCGCGCTCTCTCCTCAGCCAGTGTTGAAAGTAGCGCTCTTCTATTCTATAATTCTTACCAAACAGCAGCCAGGGGTTTGGCCCAAGTTGTCACTTTCCTTTTAGGGAGCTTCTACGTGCCTGGGCCTATGGGTCTGCTGCCCCTCCCAAAAGAAAAAAAAGCCGAAAAGTACCAGTCAACAAGGTCCTACCGCTATCCTACCGGTAGGCAAATGGAGACTTTACATGCAGGCTCCAGGTTCAAAACTCAACAATCCTTCGGCCTAGCTTTCAAGTTTCCAGTGGTGATCGTATTTCTATTTAACAAAAGCACTTACCTCGTTGGTTCTGCCAATCTGCGCCCATATCTTGGCAGGGGAAAAAANNNNACTTGAAATATTGCAAATGTTTGGGCAGCAGGTTGTTGCAGAGGCTCAAATCCCGCAATCCCAACAGGCCCCCCTCAGTTTGAAGTCCTCTCAGAATGTTAAAAGCTCCTAATGAAAAAAAGGATTTTCAGCGTTCGCAGAGGAAATGAAACACGGAACTACAGAAAGTGTAATAGTTCAGTATGTACGCCACAAAATCTGAAAAATTGCCAAATTGCCGAATTTAGAATCAATCGTACCAATGGGCGTATAGCTCAGTTGGTACCCCCATGAACGTTTGAAACGCAGACCCGACTTCGAATCCGTACACAACCAGCTGACAAGAGAATGAAGTCAGTCTGAATTACCTGAGGCCGGTCGGTCCAGTGATGATTTTGATTATGTCTCCACAGCTCGTACAGGGTTCAGTGATGATATCTTAAGACCACTGCCCTTTCAAAAAAGAAAAGAAAGAAGGAAAAGGAAAGAAGAATTTTAAAAAAAGAAAAAAGAAAAAAAAAAAGAATCAATCGCTGCGTGTACTCTCTCGGAGTTGCCTCTCATACTGGGCAACTATGCAAGGTGCCGATGGCTCGGTGTGATCAATCATCAATCCATTCGTCATCCTCTTCATTAGGGTATTATTTGAACTTGACCCTGTAGACGATGTTGGGTCGTCCTCTTTGCTGTTGCACCGGCGTTTGCCCAACGATCCTGTCGTTGGCCGTTTATCCATCCACGTTGGGGGGCAGGGGGGGGGGGGGGGTGGATCTTTCTCCTGCCCAGGAGAACGTCATGTAGGGCATCAATTTGTTTGTAGGCATGAAGCACATTATAATAAGGTCCATCTGGATCATCACCAGCAACATGCAGTTCTCCCAAGGCCGGCATAAGTTAGGTAGCAGTTTTCTGTAGACATCTTGAACTGCAAGATCGTCCATGCTTGCCGTATCAGGTCTCCCTCCTTGAAGACAGAATGGTGGTGGTGCTCAATGGCTTGATCAGCGATTGGCTGTTGTAGGGCATCAATTTGTTTGTAGGCATGAAGCACATTATAATAAGGTCCATCTGGATCATCACCAGCAACATGCCGTTCTCCCAAGGCCGACATAAGTTAGGTGGCAGTTTTCTGTAGACACCTTGAACTGCAAGGTCGTCCATGCTTGCCGTATCAGGTCTCCCTCCTTGGAGACAGAATGGTGGCGGTGCTCAATGGCTTGATCAGCGATTGGCTGTTGCATCTTCTGCAGAGTCTGTACAGCTTATTGGAGTCCACAGAAAACTGCATAGTGAACTCTGTTGTCCCATGAGGGTTCTTGAGCTGCTGATTAGCGACTAGGAAGCTCACAGGCATGGGAAGATTTCGTCCTTGGTACAAATCAGCAGGTGTAGGCATGGTTGCAGCATGCACTAAATCGTTGTAAACACCTGCTGCTTGACCAAGTGTACGTCTCAATCAATCTGAACGGCCTGTATCAGATGTCGCGGGACCCTCTGTACAGTCTTGCTCATTGCTCTGTCCAACCACCACTCTCCGATCGTGGAGTAAACTCGTTGAGTTTAGCGTCAGCGAATTCCTATCCAGTTTTGCTATAATTTACTCATGAATCTAGTGTCTCCGTGGATGATAATGTCTGAGGGCAATTCGAAATCCCCGGGCCAATTTGCAGCTAAGAGGTGAGCAATCTCCTTTGCAGTGGTAACTTCTTCATGGATACCAACCTCATGAGCTTACTGAAGCGGTCGATGATTACGAAGACGACGTTGTTTTTTCGCTTGGATTGAGAAAAGCCTCACAGCACTACATTGCGTTCTCCACCTTTGGCAAAGGCTCCCACGGGCAGAGTTGCTCCACCCGAGAAATCACAGGAAACACTCCTCTCGCAAACTCGTTTTGTAATACAATCTCACTAAGGTTCCACTAGGTTTTGAGCTTTGCCATCAAACTTCAGTGTTCAAACTGATTCTGCCATGGAGTGCTCGTTCTTCTGCAAAGAACCTTGCAAATTCAGCCCAGCTGGCAACCTGCATGAAGAGAGCATTCAGATGAGAGAGTTCACACCACACCCAAGAGAGAGCACATGAATCAGTGCCTGATGGATTTCCATTCAAAAATATGATATTATACAATTGGAGAGTACAAGTACCTAGCAGCCTCAGCCACGATCCAATACTGCAACCTGCCCGATACAGGTATGTACCCGACTCCCCCTCCCTCAATGTCTGATTCTCTCCCTCTCTCTCTCTCTCTCTCACTCTCTGTCTGTTCTCACGTTCTCAAGTCTTGTATCGCTCAGCCTCCCTGATTCTGTCATGCTCTCCCTCTCCCTACCTGGATCTACCCTGAATGCAACTGCGGTGTGCCACTCCAAACCTCTGCAGCTATGGCCGCCGTCTTCCTCCTCTCTATGCCTAGATATGGATGACTGCTCTTCACCAGGGCGCTTGCTTCTTCCTCCCCAGCGCCTTCCTCTGTCCAGGCTGTGCAACCGCACAAGCAGCCAGCAGCGCTTGCGCAACTTTGCGAGTGAACAATCTGCTGGTCTTGGCACTGTAGCAGCTATTAATAGCTGCAGTTGACCGATTTGCCTGCTTCGGACCGGTACCGGTTGCCCGCGGCACCTGCTGAATATTTTTTGGTGTTCCGGAAGTCTCCGGACTTTCTTGGGACGCTGCTGCAAAATTGGACTTTAAGACTTGACTTCCTCTATCGGTACCTGTGGACGTGTACCGACTGGTGACACTTTGGTATCCGACTTCTACCGACCTTGTGACATTTCGACCTACGGACCCTAGGACTCGACCTACTGGGACAGCCTGGGAACGGGACCAATTGGGACTCTGGGAATGGGACTCGAGACTGGCAGCGTGAAATCCTTTCACTTCTCTTGCGATCGATCGCCTCTTGTCGAAGAGTTGTCCATAGTGGCACGTCGAACGGCTAGCAATCTGGCTGGCCTTCATGCCTTTTGCCCCATAGGCGTGTGAGCGCTTACAGAAAAAAAACTGGTTCGTAACGGTGGAACCGTGTCTTATTTATAGAAACAAAGACCCATGGCAATACTGCGGAAAGTCCATGGATTTTATGTAGATATCACTTATTGTTGATTCCGGATTCTTCTTGCTAGGTTCCCAAATATCATGTGGGCGCAGAAGGTATGAAGTACGGAGTCCTGAATTGGTGTTGCATGCAACCAACAGGAAAATGTTGTTACCAAATTCGATTGTGTGTTAACATTTCGTCTTGTTCGTCTACACCAGAAGCAAGGGTAAACTCCATAGAGATGGATTCGCATGGCATGTTAGGGATGGAGAGGGGCTTCAGAAAGCTGCTTGGACTCTGCACTCTCCCCTTTGACCACTGACAGATAGTGAAGCCCTTGGTGTACTCTGCGACATCACTCCTCGTTGTGGGCCTCTAGAACCGCTCAGAGAGTCACAGGTGTATTTTCTTAGGGCATGGCCCTCTGCCAAGACATTGAGTTGCAGCTATTTGTTTGCTTGAACGCACAGCTGCAGCACTCCTTTGCGTAAAGCATTGTATACCCAGCAGCACGGTCGGGGTCTTCTTCCGAATTTGTATATATTTGGTTGTAGGCAGGGTCTCTAGGCATCACTCACATTCTCCTGGGTCAGGATTGCTGCAAAACGATCTTGCCACCATTGTAATGCAGTGCATGGAGACTGTGCCAGCCTCCTTATGCTTCAACTCAAAGTCCAAGGTGTCTACAACAGCTGACCACCTTTGGAAGCTGATCTGATGGTTTGGGGCGCATCTTCAACCATTGCAAAGTTTGGTGATGAGAATACACCAGTTTGCATAGCGAACAGTGACCCCCCATTGGCTGAGATCATGGTACGAGGCATAGAGTTCCTTCGCGTGGATGGTAGTGACAACTGCCTTCGACGACATGTGCTTGGAGAGAGAACCGCTGGCCTAAGCCCATGGCTGTCATCCTGCTGCAACACTGCCCCAATCTCATGCCATCTGGGATCTGTTGTCATAAAAAAATGGCAGTGTGGGGTGTGTGATCATTTTGTAG